ATAGATAGATAGATAGATAGATAGATAGATAGATAGATAGATAGATAAGCCGGCTCCTCGGTGGAGCAAGGTACGGGATTGTTAGCCTCCTCACGTGGGGCAGATTACAAAATAAATCCCAGTGTGAAGGCACGATGTGTGTCCCTGTTTTTATACTCCCTGTTAAGTAAGCATAAATTTAGAATTGTATTATAATGCCCAGAATTTATTCCCAGGCCAAGGGATTAAAGTCTTGAGATAAACGCCCAAGTCGTTTTTGAAGCAATTCCCTTTGAGCAATCCAAGGAACAATGTGTAAGGATGAACCTGGTCAGGGATTTACCCTTCATTTTTATTGTCTTGTTTACTACTAATATAGGTTTGGTTTGCATTTCTTCACACAGGGTGAAGAGTCCTTGGTGTTCTACCAGTTGGTTGTTTACTTGCAGATGTTTCGTTACTCAACCATGTCACATCATCATCATCATCCATGTGAGGAACATGTGACAGTAGAAAAGTTAAGCATGCCGAAAGTCTAAATCCAAGCAGCTCAGATAAGCAGAGATTAACACCAGATAAAAGAGCAGGCAGAAAACAATTCCCTAATCCAGAATTGATGAAACCATATAATTGTGGCACTGACAGGATCGTCTTCTGTATATAAACAGGAATGAAACTCCACACTTCGTCGCACTGATGATGTGACCTAGTTGACAAAGGGAACATCTGCAAGGAAATCACCAAGCTCAGAAAGCACCAAGGAACCCAGAATCCTCCTCCTCCTCCTCCTCCTCCTCACAACCCCACCCCCTTTCTAGCACTAGCTTGGTAATGAAATGCAAGAAAGCCACCAAGCTCAGAGAGCACCAAGGACCCCACAATCCTCCTCCTCCTCCCTTCTCCTCCTCCCTACAAACCCCACTCCCTTCTATAGCATTGATGGCGTTGCCTAGCTTAGTAATGAAACGTCTTCCAGAAAACAGCCAAGCTCAGGCACCGTCAAGTCTCAGTCCTGAGCTGCAGGGATTCCCTTCTATTGAAACACTGATTAAAAAAAAAGCCCGTACAATTGAGCGTATTTCAAGATTGCTACGGAGGAAAAAAAAAAAAAACTGGGCGGAGGAATCACAAAGCAAGGAATTTTTCTCAGGCTGTGTAGGTCACGGGAAGCCACTCACTCGTGCGTGGCTGTGCCGTTTTCAGAAAAGACAGAAGCAAAGAAAGGGCTTGACACCATCTTGCGAGTGAAAAACCTCAACTTTTTAAGAGCAGACTGTTTGCAGCTGCTAAATTTGGATGCAAGGCTGGTCTCAGCCTGTCTTTTTCGGTTCGGATCGAGGGAAGCTGTTGGTCTCTTTCCAAGACTGAATCCACTGTCTGGATCTTCTTTTTTTTCCTTTTCAATTTAGCGTCGCTCCATCCATCCAAACACATGATGTTCTATTCATTAAATTTGCACAGAATAACAACCGCAAACCGTTCAGCCTCGGTTTGTGATGAACGCAGCTTGGATTTTGTAAAATAAAACCATTGGGAAGCACGTAGCACCCTTTGTTTGATTTTAATTGGAGGAGCCCGTGCAACCACGGACAACCCTGGGCCTCATTTAGACGGAAGCCAAAATGAAATTATGGGTTTACCTGCCATTTAGAAGGACATCTCTTTCCTGCTTAAATGGGGGTTTAAATCATGAAAAAAAAAAAATTCCCTTCTAACTCATAATTTCAGCATTCCAGAAAACCTCCACTCCAACAAATAATTCCGAGTCAGACATCCTCTTCAAAGTTTTTTATTTGAGTAGTAAACTGGCACATCTGGGAAATCCCGAATCTGAAAGTTCCAAGTTTCCTTGCAATAAGTAAACACTACAAATCCCACCCCCCTGCACCCATCATTTCATCACCTGCCCCAATCACCATCATCCCAACTAGAAACATCCTCTCACCCAGGTGCAGAAGCAACATGTCCTTGACTTAGAAGAAGAAGGCTATTACGTCTATCCACATACGCTCCAAGAAATTCCCCCCTCCCATTTTCCCAGACTCAAGAAATGTGGCAGCACGGAAGCTTCCGGTGCTAATATGGCTTCCAAAGCTGACACCTGATTTGTTTTGTTGTGCTCTGTGTTCTCTTGCAGGGAATATAGGGAGAAAAAGAACATTACTTTCCATAGTAACAATACCGTCTCATTTCTGAGTTACCGCTCGTTTACCTTCGAACCGGACCGCTCCAACGGATTGGAATCCGATTACATCATGATGCCAAATATGTTAGTTTTGGTAAGTGGCCTTCCAACTCTGGGGATCTTCAGCCCATCTTCAGAGAACAGGTGTCATTTCTGGATTTTTGTGCAAAGGCTCAATTTTTCACCGATTTTGTTTTTTTGTTTTTTTTTCCATTTGGGGCTTCACCTAGCAATACATTTCCCAGAAGGACAATTGACCCTACCCTGTTTCCCTGAAAATACGACCTACCTTGAAAATACCGTGTTTCTCATATAATAAGGCCGGGTCTTGTTTTTTTTTTTTGAGCCCTGAAAAAATGGCTAGGCCGTCTTTTCAAGGGTGACTTAATTCCCCCACCCCCCTTGCATCTTTGGGTGGGCGGGCGGCGATGGCTTGAATGTTGACCTCGGTGTGGGTGAGGCACTTAGTATCGGGGTCAACGCAGGCAGCACCATATCCGGGTGTGCAACAAAAATACTTCCTAATGGCAAGCCCCCCCCACCATTCCCCCCCATTTTGCATATTTTGATATAGGCCTTAATTTGGGGGGAGGGGCTTAATTTCATTTCATGCCTATAAAACATGCTGGGACTTCCTATTGGGGGAGGCCGTATTATTGGAGAAACAGGGTAAGTCCTAGCTTGATTTTTACATGTGAGCCTAATATAAGCCCTACCCCCCCCCCCAAAATAAGCCCTAATTAAGATCCCGCCCACTCCAGAGTGGACGGGTAAAAATTAAAGCTAGGGTGGGGATGGGATGTGTGTGCAGCTGCCTTACTACTTACCTTTGGACAGTTGTAGCCAGGCCTTGCACACCCCAACACCTGCCTTGCCAGCCCATTTCTTCTGCAGCCGGCAAGGCTGGCAAGGCTTTCCCTGAAGGCCTCTGGAGCTGGTAACAAAGTTCCAGATTGATCCAGAGTTATTGGCTTGTTATCGGCTGCAGAGGCCTCCAGGAATGCTTGCGGGCCACCGAAGAAGATCCCAAAGGCCTCTGACAGCAACGCATGCAAGTGACATTAGTCAGTGGATGACGTGCTCCAAAAATAAGACCTGGTGCCTTTTTTTGGTGGCAAAAAAATTATGAGACAGGGTCTTTCGGGAAAACACGGGTACTTGATTTTTCATAAATTCAGATAAGACTGTTCTATCCCAGCAACTGTGGCTTCGTTGTATTATTACACTAAAAAAAATGTACTACACAGATTGTTGGTTTTGTCTCCCCTTGGTGTGCACTCAAAGTCTCGGTAGAACAGGGCGATCTGCAAATATGCAGAGACATTGGTAAATAGATACTTGGAATCTTCTGCAGGATTGCAGGAAAGCCCACAGATGAACAGGTTCCAGAATTTCTCTATATGTTTCAGAAATGAAGCTCCAAGGTCAACAAGGAATTGGGTTGTTTTTTTTACCTGCAAGAAGAGATCCAGGGCTAACCTTTGCATACTCAGAAATAAATATAGTTTGTTGATAGTGGGCTTTACGGACGCCATTTTCTTTGAAGGCCAAAGAGAAGACGGGGAGTTATTTCTGTTAAAGAGAAATGTTAGTTATACAAGGGGGTTTCCATGTCATTTCTGACGATTCCCAGTTCTCAAACAATTGGAGGTTGATGAGTGACAGTTTTAATGATAAGTCATGGTTTGATTTAATTGTGGTTTAGTGACATACTTCTAAAGGTGTGGGCCCAAACAGAATCAGATGGATATCACCTCCTCAGTGAAACACAAACTGGATGAGCAATTAGGAAAGGCACCTCCACGTTTATAGAAGAGGAGAATAACATAATAGTTGGAAGAGACCTCGGAGGTCTTCTAGTCCAACCCCTGCTGAAGCAGGAAACCTTATACCATTCCAATAAGTCTAACAGACTTTCACAGATCTTTCCCGAGACTCATGGAGAAGGTTCTTAGTGTGTTTTGTGGTAATGAGACAACAAGCAGAGTTTGCATTTAGAGCATTGAATAACAACCTTGGAAGGGACCTTTGAGGTCTTCTACTCCAATCCCCTGCTCAAGCAAGGAACTCTACACCATTTCAGACAAACAGTCTCTTCTTGAAAACCTCCAGAGATGGAGCGCCCGAAACTTCTGGAGGCAAGGTGTTCCACTGTTTAAATTAAGTCAATTAATTAATAGCCATAGCCTTTAGACTTGTATACCACTTCAGAGTGCTTTGCAGCCCTCTCTAAGCAGTTTACAGAGTCAGCCTCTTGCCCCCAACAATCTCGGTCCTCATTTTACCCACCTCAGAAGGATGGAAGGCTGAGTCAGCCTTGAGCCTGGTGAGATTTGAACTGCCAAATTGCAGGCAGCCAGCAGTCAGCAGAAGTAGCCTGCAGTACTGCACTCCAACCACTGCGACACCATGGCTCAATTTACGGCAGAATTAGCCTGCAATACTTCATTCTAACCACTGGGAGGGAAGGGAGGGTGGGAGGGAGGGAAGAAGGAAGGAAGGAAAAACAGAAATTGCTTCACAGTGCTCTCCAGCTCTCTCTAAGCGATTTACAGAGTCAGCCTGTT